TGTTAGGGGGCGGGGTTAGGGTCATCCAGGTGTTTTGTTCTTACACTGGTACTCGCTCTGTAGAGCAGGCTGGCCTCACAGAGATCCGCCTGCCTCTGCCTCCGGAGCGCTGGGATTAAAGGTGTGCGCCACCTCCGCTCTGCCATTGCCTGGTACTTGTTTGAGCATATTGTGTACACTTTGAAAATCGTCTTCTCAGGCCTGGGCTGTTGTCCTGCCTGTCACCCTAGTACTTGAAAAATGAGGCAGAGAATCAGTTCGAGGCCAGCCTTGGGTTATATGAGACCTTGTCTTCCTCCTCAAGAAAACAAAACAAAACTCACCTGTCTAACCCCTCAGGGTTAAGACAAATTACAAGCAAATATTTTCTTCCTTTTGAGATCTGCCTCATGAATGCTTCTGGTGGGGTGTGGAGTTAGAGTCCACATAGGTGATGTCTGCAGTAGGTTTGCAGTAGGAGGTTAATCGATGAATGACAGTAAGGTTGTGTTTGGAGTCTTTTAATAACACACCTACTTTCTTCTGCCCAGCATCTTACTCCCCCACCCCCACCCCCTTTCTTTTTCTTTGAAACAGGGTTTCCTCTGTGTAACAGCTCTGGCTGTTCCAGAACTCTCTTTGTAGACCAGGCTGGCCTCTAACAGAAATCCACCTGCTTGTGTCTCCCAAGGACTGGGACTGAAGGCGTGGTTCACCACCACCCGGCATGCTTTTCCCTTTCTTAATGCCTCACTAAAACTCCACTATTAAAAGATAAATGCATGTCTAGTACTTGTCCCTCGAGGTCCTCAGTGATCCCCATGGCCCCTCATTTTTTTTTCAACATGGTGCCACACACATTTGGGACCACACCATTCAGAGCCAATTCCAGTTCATTGCTTCAGAGATGTAGAAGTTGAGACTTGAGATCTTTAAGAACCATGCAAAAGAGTTTCTCATTTTTTTTTAAACTGGTCAATAGTTTTATTTCAGCATTTACTAAAGTCTTAATCTCTGGTTAAGCCAAAGAGTTTCTCATTTTTATAGATAGAGAACAGATGTCGAAAAAGGAAAGCCTGCCCACCATGGAGTGAAATAGTGGCAAAGCTAAAACTGGACCTTAAGATTTTAGATATTGACCTGGGTTATTTTCACTGTATGTGGCTCCTTGAGCACTGCTAGGGGGTTAGGCAACCGGAAGGATTCAAACTGCCTATAAGAGTGAACATTTACTGAGTCTGGAGAGATAGTTCACTGGTTAAGAGCACTGGTTGCTCTTCTATAGGATTCTATTCCCAGCTCCCACATGGCAACTAACATCTGTTTGTGACTCCAGTTCTGGGGAATCCAACGCTTTCTTCTACCTGACTTACATTCGGGCAAACACTCATACACATGAAATAAATAAATCCCTTTAAAAAGAGAGAGAGAGAGAGAGTGAATATAGAGCTGGGTGGTGATGCCTCACTCCTTTAATCCCAGCACTCTGGAGGCAGAGGCCGGTAGATCTCTGAGTTCCAAGCCAGCCTGGTCTACAGAGTGAGTTCTAGAACATCCAGGGCTACAAGGAGAAACCCTGTCTCAGAAAACCAAGTAAATAAAATGATAACAACAACAATAATAAGAGTGAATATCAAATTAGATCCTTCATTCCAAACACCAAACGTTATCTTGTGCAAGTATGATAAGTCTTGTTAAAAGGAAACAAAACAAAACCATCTCCAGGCACTGGAGAGATGGTTCAGCGGTTAAGAGTTCCGACTGCTCTTCCAGAGGTCCTGAGTTCAATTCTCAGCAACCACATGGTTGCTCACAACCATCTGTTATAAGATCTGGTGCCCTCTTCTGGTGTGCAGATGTATATGGAAGCAGAATGTTGTATACATCATAAATAAGTAAATAAAATCTTAAAAAAAAATCTCCAAACAATTCCAAAGAATGCCTACTGATTGCCTGACATGGACTCTGCTCCTCATCTCTGTTGGATGCTGTTTTATACCTCTGACTTATTTGATACTGTCACCCTCCACTGTTAGGGGGAATGAAATCTATGTATTCCAATTCATAGTCATAGGTATGACCTTATTGTTTGCATCTTAGATGTGCTTTATGAAAATTTACAGTTATTTATCCTAGCTCACAACCTCACAGATACCTCCCTAGTAGTGACTGATGGTTTTGTTATTTTAATTTTATTTATTTTCTCTTATTTGGATATGTTAATATACATAATGAGCTAGTTGGTTTGGTTTGGTTTTTGTTGTTGTTTTGTTTTGTTTGTTTGTTTTTGGAGACAGGGTTTCTCTGTACTGGTCCAGGAGGTTGTCCTGGAACTCCATCTGTAGACCAGGCTAGACTCCATCTCACAGAAATCTGCCTGCCTCTGCCTCCCGAGTGTTGGGATTAAAGGCATGCGCCACCAACACCCAGCTTGGTTTATTTTTTGACATAGGACCACACTCTAGCTGGAGCTGGTTTGAACTTGTAGCAGTCCTCCTTCCACCTTTGATTCCTTCTACAGTGAATAGTGATCAGCTACCTGCTCTGCCTTGCAGGGAAACCCCATAGGTAGCTCAATCTGTCTCTGAACTCACAGAGATCCACTTGCCTCTGCCTCCTGAGTGCTGGGATTATAGGCTTGTGTAGTCTGACTTTCTTTGGACTGCCAGCTCCCCAAAAATGACATGGAAACTTCTTAAGTATGATAGCTTGGCCTTAGTTTAGGCTTGTTCCCAACTATCGGTTGTAACTTAAATTAGCCTGTTTATATTATTCTACAT